AAAAACATATAAAAATATATGAATACATTATATGAGTAGAATATACATACTGTTCTTTTTGAAATTATGGCAAAGTTGAAATTCCATTCCTTTAAATTCACCAATTCTAAACCAACGATCTCAATTGTTTATTGAATTTCTACAAATGTTTGTCCATGATATTACCTCGTCCAATTGAATAGATATTTATTTTGCATATCATTCAATAATATACAAAAATCACAATTTCTAAATATCAATGCTATCAAGGTGTACGCCGTTAGGTATAATTTCCATTTTCTCAAATTTATTGTAGTGTCATTATTGATCGTCTTTAAATTATTTGTGATGGATGAATTCAATGTTCTAATTGCTGCTGATGATAAAGTTGGTTGTAATGTGATAGAGCAATTCCTTCCTGATTTAATTATTATATTATATGTTTAGTAAATTATTATTATTATCAATATCATCATCATAATCATTACTCTTTCCATGATCTATTTTCTATATTCTTCTGCTCAGAAAAATATTGCTAACTTGATTTTACACTCCTTCCGTTTTTTAATTTCACCTATTTTGACTTTATATGGTCATACCTCTTTTATATCCCGTGGGATATAACTAAGGTGAGATATATAACTGAGGAAATCAAACGTACGTACGTGGGATAAAAATAATAACATTAATAATAACAATTATTTATTATATAGTGTGAAGAAACAAATTTTGATTTTTATAGATATAATTTATCCATCCACCTAAACAAATATACAAATGCACAAAAGCCTAAATATTATATATACATTTAATCAACTAATCAATCGATACAAATTAAAAAAGAAAAAAGTAATTAACGGTATCAATAGTAATAAGAAATTATAATAATAAAAATAATAATATTACTGTTTTTTGGTGATTATAAACACTTCATAATCATGAACATTAATAAAATCTAGGCATATATTATCTTCATAATAGAAATCAGTATTGCACTTTGAATCTTTTAAACCGTCACCTATTGTGAAATCGTCAGCTCCAAAGCTTGGGCCTGTTCCTGAATACTGATATATTGCTTTTGAGCTACAATAAGGTAACACCCTACTTAAATTTTTTATTGATAAATCTTCATTGAAATTAAAGATAAAGCTGTTATCACAACTTGAATATGTTCCGTTGGATTCAACCCATCCAACTATTAAAAAAAAAATTTTTAAGGGGAATAATAATTAAAAATATGTAAACAAAAATAAACTAAAAATAAAAAAGATCTACTCATCAATTACCAGGATTGTAGCCACCAATAATATCAGCTTCCTGATCCAATATTTTAGACACAATAACACATCTACCTTTACTATCACACCATTTATGAAAATTATAAGCACTATAACCATCTCGACTTGCTCTATAAATCAATTTCCATTCATATTCCATATAACAAGACTTTGTATTATGATTTTCTTTATATTTAATATAACTTTCAATCAACGACGCAGCATAATTGTTAATGTATAATGAGTCGATTTGTGGTTGAGGTGGTAAGGCACGAGGTGATAATGGTGTCAATGATTCTTCCTTGGTTTTCTGGTGACCACTACCCAAAAAATGCAAAGTCAACTGTTTTCTCAATTGTTTAGGCAACAATTTTTTATAAGGAAAGACATTTTGAGAGTATTCATGCCTTTCCATTGCGGTAAAACGGATGAGACAAACCAAATTTTTAATTTGCAAGTGCAACTCCTCAAAATCGTCAATTGTCCATTTATCAAGATCGTCATCATACAATCTACTAGAATTAGCCATTCCCCAATTTATCAAAAAATCCCATAACTCAACTTCTTGAACATTCAAACCATCACATTTCAAGATAAACTCAACAGTCGAATGCTCCAATGTCAAAAAATCATCTGATTCGATGTACTGAGACAGATTATGGCTAACTATTTCTAATAAATGGTCTTGTAACTTGTTACATGATTTAAGTTTTACAGCTAGTTGAAAAACAATTGCCATTTTATCCTCAAGATCGGTAGACTTATATTTAAGAAGATAATGCTCGATCACATCAATCAATTCGTCAAGCAATAATTCATCAGCTATTAATAAAAGATCCAAAATGTTTGATAATTGTAAAAGTGTTAAATCAATTACACCTGTGTAAATATATCTAAGTAATTAAATAATTAATGATTAGATCAATTATAATTATGATTATGTCCATTATGAATAATGTTATTATGATCGTTATTTGTTTTTTTCTTACTCTAATATCAAACAACGAAATATTAAATGGTGTAACTAGTTGGTTATGTTATTATTTAGATTTACATAAGAGATAATGCACATA